CTTTTCACAGGGGGTATTTTGTTTCCCCGATCCTTTGGTATATATTTGTAGGGGGGGGGGGTTTCCGGGGTTACACCCGGTGGGGGGCCCTGCCAGCTGTTTAAACCCCTGTACTTCCGGGTTTTGGGTGGGGTATGGACCAGGGTTTGGAACATTTTGTGGGGGGGCAGGGGGTCCCCCCGGAGATGCTGGGTGCGCAGAGGGGGGGTTTTAAAACCAACAGGGGTTGTTTTTGGAGAGTTTCCCCGACCCCCTGTAGTAATGTGGAACGAACGGGAAAGCATAAAGGGCACGAACCAATTTTGGGGGGGGGCCCCGCCGGGGGCCGGATGGTTTTTTGGGGGGGGGGGGGGGGGGGAAATTTTGGGGGGGGGGGGGGGGGGTTAAGGTGGCCACAGCTGATTGGTGTTTGTCATTCTGGTGTGTATAGACGGCAGGGCCGCATCACTCCATGCGTTGGGCGTTCCCTGTTGGCAAAAGGGGTAGAGTACAGCCTGGGCAAATAAATTGAGTAATCATATGTTTGTTTCAGTCGAAAACGATAACCTTTGAGTCTGTATCGACGTAGACTTGAGGGTGTTTTCGTGGGTCTACGATGAAACTACGCCGCGCATCGTATTGGTGTCGCAAGTGAACCCTCAGCTGGCGAGCTGCTAGAGAAGCTACTGCTGTACACGCTCTCTCTGGCCATGTTGCCCTGTATTTGGTCGTCTTCCAGCACACATCCAGCCAGTACAGCCTGCACAACGACATGACAGAGGTCGATTTCAAGCAGAGCCAATGTTTGTTTTGCTGAGGAGGGAACAAGTTATTGATCGGATGCGCACGTAGCTCGTGGCTCACACGTTCTCCGAGTCACCAGTCGACGGCGCCCATTAGTGATCGGAACGCGTTGTTTGTTTACGCCGCCACGTGAGAACCTCATGTTACCGCCCGAGGCCCATTCTTACCGCACACAAGTGGGATAACCCAGTGACTTTTGACATGGATGGGTGTCGGTACGGGATTATTCTGAATTGAGCAAGCACCTACTTGTAATGGTGTTCTCACGATCAACCATTTATTATGTGACACACGCGCTCAAGAGTGCGCGCGGCACTATCACCGAGCATCGAACGTGTCATGATGGGCCGCACATGTACCACCACCACCACGGTGGATACCCGTGCGGTACTACCGTCGTTCCGTGGGACATCCCATGAGTTCGACCAGCGGGCGGTCCTCCTGGGCAAACAAACTCATTGGACGGCCCACGACCAACATACCACACGAACGACCCGCCTTGGGACTTTGGTCCGCCCAATGCCCGATGTCGTAAGTCGCCATGATGAGTCGTGACGGGCTATACCGTTCATCATGTGGGCCGTCGTTTTTGATCGACCGCCCCTTGGGCCGGCCGACTAGAACCCGTCGGACATCCCACCGCCAATGTATACCGCAATTGGAGGCCCATGGAACGGCCATGGGACGCCCGCATGAGCTACCCACCGGCCGCCAAATGGGTCGTCATGAGGCTGAGTCGTGTAGTGGGTAAACATTGTCATTGTCATTGTCATTGAAATGTTTGCTGGCGCTAAGGCGGCCAATGGACGATCGCGCGTAAAAGTCCATGGGCAGCCATGGGATATCCCATGTGTAAAAACGCAAACCTTACAAACGTCACTACTACTGCGGAGGGGCGCAGAGTGCCCAGAATGAAGTCGATCAAACAACAATTGATCCGGGTAATCTCCGGAAGTACCGTGCTTGCTTGTGTGTGCGAACCTGCAGGGGCGACTTCGACTAGGCCCCAAGATCGGGGCAGCATATTTGTTTTCGCCGGAGTTCATGCATGCATGCATGTGATCCCAAAGAAAGGCGTCAGTCTGTCTGTGTACGTCCTCGCCGCAAAGAAGGATGTGGTGCAAACAAAGTAACCATCATTCAAATAATTGTTGGGAACACACATCATCTGCGAAGAAAGGAAAACTCGAAAACGAAAACCTTGTGTCGAACATGCAACCACCACACAAACGAACAGCAGCCTCGTTTCTGGATCGATAGAGAACCCACGTGCTTCTATTTGGTGTACACCACGAAGTCGGTGTCATGCAACAGATCAAGAGCACTGGGTGGATGGCGCCGTACCACCCGCCCCCACACACGGGAACGAGGTTGACTTTTGAAACAGATTATATCCGTTCGAAATGAGACGAAGGTAAGGAGCGGACGGCTCCTTCCTTTGGAAAGCTCGATCCATTGGGTCTACGATCCATGGAGAGTAGTACTTTGAGCGCTTCAAAGAGTGACGCGGAGAAGACCACTCCATTCAACACGATACTCTACATCATAGCGAAAAATAGTCCCAACTATCTATTGCCTGTACACAAAGCATCACTCACATCAATGCCTTCATTGCTCCGCGCACAGAAACTATGTATATGCCATCTTTGGAATTCGTTGTGACACCTTAGGAATTCGTTGTGGCACGCATGCCTCTGGGGGGTAAACTCGAGAGCAACGTCGTCATCGTTTGAGACATGATGATGGTGGTGCCACCTTGATATTCCAATGAAACGCGTGTTCCACCGATAGTCTACGCGCGATCTGCATCTATTACTGTATATATATCATGTTTATCATCTGTGTTTCCTCAGCAGAAGAGGTCGTGGCGAAGAACATCGAGGCGGATCACCTCCGCGTGAATTAACTCACGGAGCGCAGTACCACCCCGGGTGAACCGTCGAATCCTTTCCATGCTCGCCTGTTGGGCATCCCGACCACAGGACGCGACAGGAGAGGGGGAACAATAAAGGTTGAGAATGTGCCCCTCGAAAGATAGCAAGCACGAAAGCACTTGCGACAAGAGAAGATGGGATCCGTCCCAAAAGAGGGAGGCGGGGGGCACGTTCGTAGGCTATAAGTGTGGTGCTTGTTTGTAGGTTATATGTGTGGTGCTTGTTTGTAGGCTATAAGTGTGGTGCTTGTTTGTTTGCCGCTCAACCATCGAGCCGGTGCGGACAAACCGAACTACAGTAAGCACAGCAGCATTGCTCTTGAATCCTGAACGATGGACTCCGTTCTGTGCAAGCACAAAGCCCCTCTTGTTGAATAAGATAGCTTCAAACAAGCCTATTGAGCGCCTGTAGTACACAACAGATGCGCCACCGCTACAGAACCCCAAAACCCAAGGACGTCAGGCTCAGAAAAGTACAGGTTTCGAACTAAAACCAATACTCCGAGCCGACGCTCAGCTAATGGTGCTGCACTCAGCCAATATAGCCGCTGTAAGGTTACCCCACATGAGAAACGAGATCCTCGAGCAAAGTTAGAAGGTTGTTAGGTGGTGGCACGACTCTTTGGTCTCTGATTGTAGTATTATAGTGGTCCCCGTGCAAGACGGTGTCAAGGGGTTCGGCGGACCTTATACCTGGCACCTTTGCAACTGATTCACCCCAGTTAACCGGCCTGATACATGGACCACCACGGCATGTCACCTTCTGTTCGTCGTTCCACCGATAAGAAGACTTGAGGTCAGCGCTAGCCGGAGGCTTCCAGTTCTCCACCCTCCCCTCCAGCCGACACGGCACAGCTTCCCCTCCCCCCCCCCACCATCCTTCCTCTTCTCTTTCTCTTTTTTTC